AGTTCATTTATGTGTAATACTACATTTTAAATCATTTAAAATAATTTTAATTAATTTTATTACTATTAAATATTGTTCGAACTTAATATAGTTTATAATAATATATTATTTTTGGTAGTTTCAATATTAATAATATAAGAATTTTTAGTAATCATAAGAATATAACAAAATATAGTATAATTATCAAGCTTATAAAACTAAAATTTAATTATTTATTTTAGCAAAAGTAATAATAAAGTTAATGATTGTTATTATCAATATTATAATTATTGGTTTTATATTATTTAACAAATAACAGTAAATAACATACATAACAACATATTGGATGTATTGTGGGTGTATTTAATAGACATTTTAAAGGCAACATAATGTAGTTTTGAATATCATTTATTTCAATTTTAAGTCTTCAAACACTATATCGACTGGTGCAATTATCAATTAAAAAATGTAATTCTTGATCTCTTGATGGTTGTGAAAGAATCAACACCTTTTAACGACCAGTATATTGAAATATCTGTAGATGTGGAAATCAGTGTTTGATTTTACATGTTCAATACGTCTCATGGTGTTTGTGTGTCTGTTTTGTACATTTTATAAAATCTATGATATAATTATAAATCACTTTGTTTTAGAGTTTTCAACATCTAAGTGTGGTATTAACTGTATTTACTTTTGTTGTTAAATACTTGATAACACCGAGCGTATCAATGTTTGTTATAGTGCTTATTTCTTATGTTATTTTTGATATATGTTTAAATGTAAAAAGTTAATGGTAATTACATTGTTGATGATTTAGAAGACACCTACGTTGTTTCTCTTTTTGAGTCAACATATCAAACTGAATTATGGTTGAGCTTATTAATTAATATAACATTGTTATCGACTTGAGTCAATAATTTATTCATTCAAAATACAGTTAAACCTCACAAAAGCGGAATTTCTGAAGAGTGGGCATTTTATAGACTAAAACTAAGTAGAGTTCTCTCTCTAACAGGTTATAGGGTTTGATTGGCTAAAAATGACCGATTTTGTTCGAACATAAATTAATGCTTGTTTCGGTTTTGAACAGAATGTCCAAAAAATTAAAATAAATTCCAAGTTAAGTGTTTAGATTAATAATCCCGTTTTTATCAATATTTTTAATAGTAATCCAAAAAAACAAAAGATAATTTGGGGTAAAAACTTTTACAAAAACCAGTTTTTTAACACAGTCCGTTTTGAATTATCTGGTCTTTTTTTAATTTTAAACATGTTTAAATTTGCTGTTTTTAAAATTACTCGACTTTTTTTCAACATTTCAGTCTTAAACCATTAAATGAGTTTTATTTATCATTGTTTTTTAACCCTGTTTTTTTGTTCAGTAATTAATACTTTTTTAATAAGAAGAAAATAAATGATAATGGTATTTTTTTGGCTGATTTGCCACGAAGTTATTTTTTTCTTGTTTATTTGTTAGTTTTTTACACAGTTATCAATCTGTGGACTTTTGCATATTCTATTAATATAATTTTTATCGTGTTTAATTACTAATATAAATTTTCCAATAAAACTCGATAGAATAAAATAATTGAGTAAATAATTGTAAAAAATACAACGACAATATCATTTGTATGTTGCTAATGGTTTGTAAATAAAGTTATATTAGTTAAAAAATTTATCCAATTATAAATCACTATTCAGTTTTTGTATCAATCCTCCCTTATTTGGGCATATTCCGGTCTCTTCCAAAGTGTCTCGAAACGCAGTTGACGTCGATTATCGGCCTTCCAATCCACATACAAAACACCTGGGAGAGCCAATCTTCTGTATCATGATAATTAGTGAACTTCAATATTCTTGAAAAGAGTTTTGCTTCATCGCTGCTTCTAAAGGCCCCAAAAGCCCCCCAGACCTCTTCTTGAGTTAAGTTCAGTTGTGATACATTTCTATTGGCTTGGCCATTTGTTAGTGATATCTTCGAGAAGCATCTTGGGATAGCTGTCTTGTTGATCTCAGGTCTCTTCATCAACTCGCTCACAGTTGAGAATGTATTTGGGGCATATGTTTGGTCGTCTTCTGCGTAGATGTAAACATCAGTTGGGTTGTTATTAAAGGCGTTGAGAAGGGCCGAATAAAAGTAAAAATTGATTGTGAGGTGTTTCTTCAATAAGTACTGATCCCAAACTTGTACACGTGCAAAGTGTGTTGAATAGTAGTCATTAAACCACTTCCCAAATAAAACTTTTTCCTCTAAAGGTGGTTCAGGCCAATAAGGAATAATGTTTATGTTTGGAAAACGGACTTGAAGTGTTCGGATTACTCGGTCATAGTCGGGAAAATCACAGTCTTGTAAACACCCCTTTACCATGTATATACTTTTAATTTCAACATCAGAAGGTAGGTTTTCAAGTGCAACATAGAAATCCCGCATCGAGCGCAAAAGCGCCTTTTTCATTTTGGACTTCTTTGGTCCCGCCAAAAGGATGTACGTGACCGAGTATGACTGTGCGGCAACGATAAGGAGTAGTAACAGAATCATTAAATAAAATTTTTGAAACTATAAATCTACTTGTTAATTTATTACTTTAATAATTATGGAATAAAAATAACGTGTTCGTCAGGTTTAATTTTTTTGGTTTTTGTATAATTGATGTTTGGAAGACAAACTTAGCTTTTTTTGAAATTTGTTTCCTAAAAATTCTATAATTATTACTATACAGTTGTTATATTTATAATTTTTTTGTTTTTTAATCTTTTCTCCCTGTTTTTGTGTAAATAATTAAATTAGAAAAAAATATTTAACCTTATATATTAATATTTGTAATTTTTTTTATATGAATAAAACCATTATAATAATTACTTTATATCTGACCAAAACATGAAATTGAAATGATAATAAATTATTATAATAGTTTAGTAAAATTAAAAATAATCTATATATGTGCTGTAACAAGGTTCGTTACCCAAAAAGTAATGCAATTAATTATTATAAAAAAAAATAATAAAACCGTAAAACTTTAATAATCTTATTATTTAAGTTAAATCATAAGCAAAGTTATAATATTGGTAAAACTATACAATTGTTCTTAGTTATTTAAAGCAAATTTTCAACTTATTTATGAAATGTACATTTAACTTGTATTTGTTTTTGCTAAAATGAATGTATTTTTTATTTGTTTATTATACAATTTTTTAATAAAGCAATAAAAAACTAAAGAAATATAATTCAATTTAAAATAATATAATATTTTAATTAAAATGCTATATTTAAAACTAGAGGTTAAAAGAATACAGAGTTTTGCCATTTATATTGATACTACAGTTGGGTCATAAACCTTAGCCTAGGAAATTAACCTTAACTCAAATAAAAACTAATTATTTTCTATTGTTATATTAAAATAATAAACTATACCTAAATATAAGTCAATTTTTTAAAATATTTGTTTTTTTAGTAAAAACCCATGTTTTTAAAAAAAAATATAGGAATTTCTTTGGGCTAAAGTACATTTCCTGGGCTAAGGTTCATTTTCCCTACTGTAGACATCAATTTAAAATTAATTTTGAATCTACTTAAAAATTCGATTTTTTAATAAATAAAGTTTGAATGTACAGATACAGGAAAAACCAGGGACCAGACTAAATTAAGCTGTTTTATTTTTGGTATATAGTTTCCTTGTTATGGAAAAATCCCCAAATAATCAGGTTTTTGGAGGATATGTTGGTTTATTTTCAAAAACCAGGGACCAAGTATTAATAGACACACTATTTTTCAAATAAAATAGAAAAAACTATAAAATATGAAACTCTTAATTAATCATTTGAAGCTGCCTTTATTGTTAATGCCCAGCCGAGCCAAAGTAAAGTTTGTTCTTTATATTGATTTATCTTCCGTTGTTTAATACGTTTAATGATCATCCATCATTTACTGAATGTCTAACATTCCAATAATTTATTTATTCTTTACTTTATTTTCATTTATTACGTGAGTCACTTTTAATACTGAACGAAAAGTGACTTATTGAAACAACCAAGTGAATAAAAAAAATGAATGAACGATTTAATTGAATGGTTGTGTTGAAGTTAAACAAGGTTGAACAAAAGAATAATATTTTATAATTAAACAAAAATTAATAATAATAAACTTACTATTATAGCTCACATTAAGCTGTTGTTCATTCAGACTTTATACAACACATTCATTTTTTTTTCATCCCGAATAATAACCGTTATTAAGACCAAATAACAAGAAAATTACATTTTTATTTATATATTTGCCCGTTTTATTGTATAAAATCCGCTTAATATTCAATAGCTAAAATTAGTCTGGTCCCTGGTTTTTCCTGTGGTCCCTGTTAATTCCGCTATCTGTAATGACATTACATTTGGAATTTATTTGTCATTTAGCACATTTCAAATTATTGTTACATTTTTCGCTTACAATTTCATTGTTTAAAAATTATTTTCACACTTTTTTAAAATTAAACAAATTAAAGATGTTTTTTTTACTGTGTTAAAAAATAAAATATTGTTATTGATACTGTTTTTTTGTTATAAAAAATAATTAAAGTGCGAAGGTTGACATAAAACTCCAACTTTCACATTAAATTTAACATGAAACTCAACCTTTATGATAGACGTTATTGTTGAAGATATTTTTTTTCATTTTGGCAAAAAAAAAGATTGTCATTTTGTATTATTATAATTAATACAATTTATCAAAATATATAATACACAACTAAAAATTATTATTAAGTTGTAAAAAATGTTTAACTTGTTATAATTTAATAACTCGACTTTACAATAAATAGGATCTCGTTGTGGTTATGCACCCAACTAAATCGAAACAGTTTAAATATTTGGATAAACATGAATTAAAATATAAAACAATGTTTCAACAATTATATATGAATATTGATTAAATTAATATTCATAGTTGTATATATCACTTGATAATTAATTAATTTTTGTTGATAATTTAATGGTACTTATACAATTGTTTTTAGAAATACAAATAATTAACTCCATAAAAAAACTCTGAGCTGAACTGTTTAAGGCATACTAGCCCCTTTTAATTCCATTTATTTAGCAGTAATATAAATAAATACATTCAAAGATTTGTGTTATTATAACAAAAAAATTACTTCAATTGTTAAAAATTTGTTTATTAAATCAATCCAATTTATTATAAAATTAAAACTATACTATTATAATTATTATATTTTTTCAAAATTAAAATTAACTTACCCAAATTTAATCGTTTCAAAAAAGTTAAAATGTTTTAATTTTAAAACGAAGATACAGTTCCTCAAACTAGCCTTATGGGAAAAGCTTGCCTTCTGGGATTGTTTTTCAAAATATAGTTAATTTAATCATATAAATATTCCAATTAATAGTTAAGTATCAGAAACTATATTTTGAAAAAAAGTTTTGATTGGTGTGGAACAAATTTGAAATTTTATAATAAAATAAATAATTCATTTATAGTTAATATATAATAGAAATACTTGAAAAAAATCCCAGAAGGTAAGCTTTATTCATAAGGCTAGTTTGAGGTGCTGTTATATAATAACTACGCAATCTTCACAGTAAAACTCTTTTCTTATTATATTATAATTATAATATAATTATATAAATAAGATTAGTAAAATTATAATAACAATTGTTGTTTTTGGTTAAAAATGAGAACACCACAAAAGAACTCGAAACCCACATGGCCCCATTCAATGTACTTCACATAGTTTTTATTATTCTTTCCACTTTAGTTTTTTCCTTATTACTTCTCTTCTATTCAACCTTAGGATATGGCATAGCAACATTAACATATCCTCGGTATTTCACTCCACGCCATTCGAATTACTCATACCCTGTTCCAACGTACCATGACTCTCTGATTGATGTTCGTCGCTTTAATTACAAAGGAAAGTGTGGTGATGTCTTCAAATACAAACCAAACAATAAAAAAGACTTGTGGCTCACAGCTGTTGGGATACGAGACGTCGAGTATTGGGACAAAATTCGAGACAACACTAAATTTGCTTTTGGTCTCTCGAACTCGTCGATCCCCAACGCCGATCGCGTTGTGTTATATCTTGACGGCCTTGACATCCCCGAGTTTTTCGATATCGCCGAATCTTATCGCGTTCGTGTTGTTCGCGAGAGAGTTGAGAAACAGTCCACTAAAAAAGGGCAAGATGTCGTTCGTCGCTTTTTCGCGTACTTCAATTTTTTGTCGAAGAATGTTGGGAAGTACGAAAGAATACTTATCAGCGACCAGCGAGACGTTTTTATCTTCGGCGACTTCTTCGCGACGTTCTCGGGCGACGAACTTGTCTTTTTAGCGGAGTGTGATGACGGTGGGATTAATTGTGTGACCTTTGGGGTTGAATGTGTATACAACGCGATGAGGGATGGATTTGGAACAGAGGAAGCAGACAATTATGTGAAGAATGGGTCTATTTTGATGAACGCGGGGACGATGTTTGGAGGCGCCGAACAGATCTTTTTGTATGTGAAAAAGATGGTTGAAACATTAGACGTTGAAAAGTGGGAGAAGTGGGGGTATGACCAAGCCGTGCATAATCATCTCTTTTACGCGTTTTATAATAACTCGAACGTTAATAATAAGAATGAAAATAATATGAGCGTTGATATGTGCACACAACGGGCTTGCTTTAGAGAGAGAAATACTGCAGTCTATAGTAATTACTGGAAAATGTTGTACACAAGAGGAAGCGGATGTTCACCCGTCCTTCGTCATAAAATATTGGCGGAAGGATTTTCTATAGACCACGATAGGTATTATAAGAAGGAGGAGCCGATTAAATAAGAGTGTTAATTGTAATGTGTGACTGATTGTTATGTTTAATTTGTGTTTTATACAATTTTTGAGTTAAAATACAATAACATTAGTAAAGAAGTGTGAACTGATTATACGAAACTGGTTTATATGGAATTTATGTTATAAATAGATCTATTCATGGTATTTATTTTAAATGGATTTTATTTTCTTTACTGAGTTAACTTATTGAAAGTAGGTTCTATAATTCCAGTTTTTCTTTTTGTTATTAACCAGATTCTAAATCTCTTCCAATAACACAATACCACACTATTTTCATCATATATTGTGGTTTATAATATATTCTTTTTGTACTTCTTTTTTTTAAGGTGAAGAGGAAAAATAACAGCTTATTTGAAAGAAAGAAGTACAAAAAGAATAAACCACTTCGTTTAATATATCACTTATTTCAAATGTAAGTTATAAATGTATTTATTTTAAAATATAACTCCAGTCAGTCTCAAATGTTATCTGGTACCTTTTTGACCAATAAAATTGAATATTTCGGGAAGCTGTCCCAATTGTTTCACGTTTTATTTAATGTCTGATGTTTAAACAAAAATAAAGCTATTTATTGTTCACTAGATAACAATAAAAGACTGACTCGAACGATATTGATTTCAAATTAAAAAAATAAGATAGAAATACATCTACTCAATTAATTACATCCAAAACTTCGGGTCTTTTACCGTAGTGAATCTTTCCCACCCGACATGCTTAGCCGTTTGGAACATTGGTGTGGACATATTCAAGAAGTCGTCCATATAACAGTTATAAGCGTCAACACAAACACCCCAATTCATGTATTTCCAGAATTTGTTGATCTTCTTAAACTCTCGTTTTCCAAGCAAAATGCCGAAGAACCCCGCAACACAAAATCCGAGTTGTTTGTTATGGACTTTGATATCATTATACTTGTCTTGACATATCATAGTCCGTGTAGCCACTTGTTTGCCATCTTTGTATTGATCCAAAACGTTCTTAAGAGTGACAAAGAAGTCCTTTTTGATCAGAATGTCGTCTTCCAAAAAGAGGATGTAGTCTGCGTCTGTATATTGTTTGGCATACCTTGCTAGACTAAATGCATAATGATTAATTTTGGAGTCTTTGATGTACCACCAATAACAAGACTCCTCTCGTTCGTTCACCGTGTCCTTCCTAAAATCAACAACCCAACTCTCAAACTTCTCTTGAAATTTGACCATTCCTTTGTCTTCTAATTTGTTGACTGGAATCATTTTAAAAGAAACATTGTACACCTTGAAATCGTAATTGGAGAGTCTGTTGAGTTCTTTGTCAAACTCTGGAAACTGACAATTCTCACATCCTTTAGTAAAAAACAAATCAATCTTGATCCCAAGGTGATTGAAGTTATACGCATGCAAAAAGTAATCCATAGTCTCGTGGAGATAATTATGGCTTTTGGGTCCTACTGCCATTGTAAAGACAACGTGATGCTCTTTAGTAAACAAAGAGCTTACAGATAAAAGTAATAAAATAAGAAAAAGCATCGTGTGCATGCCTTAAATACGTTGAGTGTATCTACCAGTTTTTTTTCAAGTCTTCAATTGAACAGAAAAAAGAGAAGTAAGTCGAGAAAAGAAATAAGTTTACGAAAAACTATTACTTTTAATATTATTTTTAATATTTTGGATTGATACAATTTGGGTTATACAAGATGTCCATTTTTTGAAATTAATTCTGAACACGTTTTGAAAAAAAAACAGATTAAATTATATCGGGTATTCGTTTTTGGTCTTTATTGAAAAAAAGTAAAAAAATAGGAAATAAACAGAGGTCTCATTTCCGTTATAAATAAGAATATCTTGTCCACTCAAAGTTCATTTTTTTTATCATTTTTGTATATAAAAAACTTTATATTTTTGCTTTTTTCTTTCAAAATTATAATTAATAATTGTTTTATTATATTACTTTTTAATTGTTTTTTTGAACACTGTATTATAACAAATAACCGTGTATTTGATTAATTTTTAATAACATAAATTAATATGAAATTAATAATTAAACTATTATAAAAACAACACAGACAAGTTCTTTGGTATAAATAATGTTATAACTATTTCATTTATTATTATAACTAAATTTATATTACTCTATTATCTAACAATAAATTAAACTATATATAATATTAATATAATCTGATTTATTTTATAATATATTAATAATATATATTTAATATTTGTTATAAAATATATTATCTTCATGAAAATAATTGATTTTTTTTTACTTATATTTTTATCTTAGTTGAATGAGCATCAATATGAAGAGAAAAAGATCAGAAATGTTTTATATATTTATCCTAATAATTCAGCTTAAATTGACATATGTTTTATCACCGACCAAAAACAGCTGGAAAAGAGATTAGAGTTACATTTAACGGAAAAAGTGGGATGCTAATCTAAATATTAATTAATTTGATATTATTAATAATAAATTTATTTTGGTTTTTTCATTTTATTAATTTTTTGATTAATAATTTATATTAAAATTAATAGTAATTTTATTATTTTTCAATTGATATTAACCAATAGTTACGAGCATCCTCCTTTCTCTTGCATCCCCATATTTCCTCCTACTGTTATAATTATTAAGAAACTGTATCAAAAACAGTAAATGATAAAATCGTTAAATTAAACTGTACTAAATAAAAAATAAAATGAACACTGTGTAATAATTGAGCTTCAATGTTTTTATTCTTTATACAAATATCGAACAACATTTAAACTCAGAATACTTACTTATCTTGAGTTTAAATTACAATTATTTCTAATAACATTAAAATTACTTTTAGTTATAACAAATGTAATTGTTTCTATCGATAATGATTTAAAGTTAAAATGACTTGTTTATCTATCCATACATACTATATTCAATTTTTAAAATCAAGACTTTTATAAGTGATAACGATGAATTCGTTTTTATAATGACTATAATTTATCTACTTTGAAAATTGAAAAAGAACATAACGACACGAAGTCATTATGTATAGTGTTGGAAATGGTCACTCAGAAATAAAAACATATGAATCACGGCTCTATCAGTTGGATTTTTCATCATTGTGACGTTAATCAGTTTCCCAACTGTCCTTTTATACTGAAAAAAAGGGTTTCTACTATTACAAAGTATAGCTACATTATTATAACAGTTAAATCCAATGAAAACATTTTGCACTTTTCAAAAACAAATTCAATTTTCAGTTCATTCGTCGAATTCATTAACAGTTTTTTTGGAATTAAAATAAGTCGAATAAAATATCACCAGAACATGATAATCAATTCACTTCAAAATGAGCGACCACCCCGAGTTTGCAAAGTTCAAGAAGATCCAACTTCTCACCATTAAAAATGCCCAGAAGGAAGGATATTTAGTCAAAAAGGGTGCAGATTTTCACACATGGAAGAAACGTTGGTTTGTGATGAAAGACCACTACATTTACTACTTCACCAAAAATAGTCCAAACGCAGTACCAAAAGGTATTATTGAGATCAACGAAAAATCGACAGTTCAATTACTTGAAGACTCCCGCAAACCAACCATTTTAATAAACTCTGTGCACCGCACACAAGAAATCAACTCAGAAACCCTCGAAGATGCTAAAAACTGGACTGAAGCGATCAAACAACAAATCGAGAATTTTAAGATCAACCCCCAGACAGACGAAATATATTCCTTCGTTGATAAGACAAACATACCCGAGCAAAAACAGACATACTGCCCTCCTCTGGACAAAGTTGAAATTCCCGTCATGCAGTGGCAAGAAGTCCAAACACGTTTGACCGAAGAGAAAAATTGCGATAGTAATAAATTCAGAGAATTACTTGTCTCTATCGGAAAGAGCACTTGCGAACGATACTTTTATTCGATATGTGAGATTATAATGGGTACGTGGAAAGACACGGAAATCGGTGACTTTTGGTGGGACAACTTTTGTGAAGGTGACTTAAAAGACATCGAAATGTTTGCTGGAGGAATTCAAGGGGATAGTTCGATCTGTGGGATGGAACCTACCGATAACCGGAGCACTGACAAAAATGTTATACAAGTGCATAGTAAGACTATAACAAGTGGGCAAAGTGAAAAACCGAGTCAACCAAATATACAAACCTCACAAAGCACAGAAAGACTGCAGACTCAAAGTGTCATCCAAATTGGACAAAAACCACAAAATGAACAAACAGAAAAACAAAAGAGAATTACACAGAAGCCAAGTGAGAGTCTGGGGACTGTCATATTCGTCTTGGGAAGAACAGAAAATGGCGCTCAACGACTCGCAAATATCTACAACTACTTGATCAACAAATATTGTTACTCATGTTTCGAGGTAAGAAAGTGTATCATGCAAGCTATTTCAGACTGGGGAATAAAGACTAATGAAGTCTTTTTCACCGTGCTCGTTGTCGACTTGATCAAAAATTGGAAGGCAGAAGATGTCATCGCAATGATTAAAGAAATCATCATGTACACAGACAGATATGAAACTTACCAGTGGGAACAATACCCTGATCATGTCAACAACTTCTTTTCTTTGTTTGTTCTTTTTACTTTATTTAATTATATTTAATTATATTTTACTATATAATAATATATTTAACTTAAATATTATAGTAATACATTGTTTTATGTTTATTAGTCGAAATGGTCAATTGAAGTGTTTTGGAATTTGCTTTCTTTTGTTTCCTCACTAATAGACTCATCAAAGATTGGACCACATCTAAAAAACAATTTTTGCTTTCTCGTACAAGTGAATTGGGATGGCCAGCTGGATCACTTGGAAAGATGGCACATCTTTTTAGTGAACAATCCTCCACAGAATAATACATTTTTGTTTATATTTTTTTTAAATTCATTTTGTTAACTCAGTAACTGTGACTTTCATTGAAATTTAAAATGTAGCCACTTTTATGTAAATTGAACAAAAAATGATTATTTGTATTAATAATAATTAATTAATAAATTAATAAATGATAAATGATAATTAATAATTATAGTATCAACAAAACACTATTTAAACACAATAAAAAAAATATCTCCTTTGTTTTTAACATTGAAAATCTTTTTATAAGCAGCTCTGCGAGATATTTCATAATAACTTAATTCGAGATGTTGCTTTTTTATTATTTCAAGTACGAAATAAAGAAAGCTATTGTTATGAAATAAAAAGCTAACTACTTTTCATAATACTTTGAAATGTTGTTTTTTGTCAAGAATAATTTGTAAACGTTTGTTTTTAAAACATTATTTTGGAACAATTACCAAATGAAGACATAAATGAAGACGCTTTGTATCTTTAAATAACAAAAATGTCATTGATTGATGGATGCCACGCAGTGGCACAAGTTGCTTATTACATGAGTGACACACAATTTATATTCCCAATTTCACCTGCAACATCCATTGGCGAAACGTGTGAAGAAATGTCAGCTTCTCATGTTAAGAATATGTACGGAAACGTTACATCGGTTATTGAAATGGAAAGTGAACTTGGCTCAATTGCTTCTGTACATGGTTCTGCACTTACTGGTGCAATTCCATCCACCTTTACTTCATCACAAGGATTGTTACTAATGCCACCAAATATGTTCAAAATTGCTGGGGAGTTACTTCCAGCTGTTATTCATGTTGCATCGCGAAACATTGGAGCTTCTGGGATGACTGTGTTTTGTGACAATACTGATGTGCTGTCATGCAGATCAACTGGTTTCTGTTACTTAACGTCGAACACCCCACAAGAGAGCTACGACTTTGCCGTCATATGCTATATGGCCACAATCGAAGCATCACTCCCCTTCCTCCACTTCTTTGATGGGTTCAAAACTGGCTACGCACTCCAAAAAGTGAGCACGTTGGAACCCAACGATCTTTTCGGTCTGATCAATAAAAAGCAGCTGGAGAAGCACAGACAAAGGAGACTGTCTCCACACAACCCAACAACACAAACTCTCATACAATGCAACGACACGACTTTCCAAGCAATGGAACGTACGAACGAGTACTATAACAGAGTACCCGAGATTGTCCAAAATTGTTTCAATAAATTCGAAGAGAAGACTGGAAGGAAATACAACGTTTTTGATTTGTTCGGCGACACTGATGCTGAGGTCTGTATCATCGCATTTGGTAGTGTCTGTGGAACAATCAGAAATTTGCTTTTGGAAGAGAACAAAAAACTTGTTGGGGAAAAGGTGTGCCTCATCGAAGTGAGGCTGATTCTGCCTTTCTCTGTCGAGAAGCTTATTGAGAAGATTCCAAAAACTACAAAGAAGATCGTTGTGCTTGACAAGACCAAAGAACCTGGAGCAAACGGGGAGCCTTTATATCAAGCAGTGTGTTCTGCATTGAACGAGGCCGATATGAGAATCAAAGTTCATGAATGCAGATATGGTCTTGGAGGCAAGGAAATGACCCCTTCCATGATTCTATCGATAATAAAGAATATTGCTGAGAACAACAAGCTGAAAACGATGTTTGTTCTATTTTTTTGCCTTATATTCTTCCCCATTCTGAAATGGCGAATCTTGTTCTGTTAATCACTCATTCTATAAATACATCATCTATATACTACATTTAATAATTTACAAACTATACTTAATATATTAAATTGTAATTAAATAAATAATATAGTAATTTGAACCATATGTTTTGCCACAAAAGAAATAAACAACTGATTATAATAAAACAGCTATTTATTTATAGTTTCACAATTGGTATAGATGATGACGTCACACACCTCTCACTTTCATATGACTCAAACTTCACGATGAAAGGCGCTGATTTTGAGGTGATTATATATGGTGTTTCTGGTGTTCCAATATCAAAAACGATTTTGAGTTCCACAACGAAAGAAGAATACGTTCAGGGATTTAAAATGATAGATATGGCTAAAGAAGCTGGAATGGTAAGAAACGATCTCAGGATTTCTAAAAGAGAAATTCTCTCACAATTTGAGATTGAAGAGGCGGATGTTGTCTTTGTATTGGAGAGAACTCAATATTTCGTTCCTGTTTTGAAAGACATAAAGAAAAACGGGATTCTTGTCATTTCAGAAGATTGCGAGTCGTTCCAACAACTCAGCCTTGAGACGCTTGAAACGGTGTTGAGGAAAAACGTCAGAGTCTTTTTCAAGAAAATGACAACTGAAGATTGCGTCAAAGAGGTACTAAAAATGAGAACTGGAAATCACTCATTTGATGAAGCAGATTACAAAGGTGGAATGTACAAACAGAAGATAGAGAAAATTATAGAAGAAAAGAGAGCACACAAGAAGGTTGTTAATGACAAGTACTACACCGATATAGTGCTGAAGATAGAAAATGGACATGGAAACGAGTTGAAAGTGTCTGACATGGTGCCTGGGTTCTATTGCCCAACTGGACAGTCACAGTTCAACAAAAGAAGAGTCAACAAAAGAATACCACATTGGGATATTAACATGTGCCAACAATGCTCAACGTGCTCTATCGTGTGCCCGTCATCATCCTCACGAATATTTGCGCTTGACGTCGACCACCCAGTACCCGACGAGTTCAAGATGAAAAATTCGACAAAGGGAAATTACAAGTACCGCGTGCAAGTATCACCGGAGGACTGTATGGGATGCAACAGCTGTGCGAGTTCATGCAAATCGAAGGCAATAACTATGCTTGAGGACGACGATAATTACGAAGAACAAGTGAGAAATTGGAAGTTCGCAATGACGATCCCGGACTTCGAAAAGAAGTCGACAATTGAGGAGTTGGCAATGAATAAACCATTACTTGAATTTGCGAACGTATGTACTGGTTGTGGAGAGATGGCTTCGGTGAAGATGGCAACGCAGTTGTTTGGAAAGAGAATGGTTTGTGCTATGACGTCTGGGTGTTCAAGTGTGTCTTCTGGGGTAATTGGTATGACTGCTTTCACAAAAGACGCAAATGGACGAGGACCAACATACGGCAACTCACTTTTGGAAGACAACATGGAGTATGCCTTTGGGATGGCAGTTTCATTGCACCAGAACAGAGAAATACTAGTTAAACATGTTAATACAATTGTAAACAACAAAACACTGAGAAGCAACATTGGAAAGGAGTTTGCGAAGTTGTTGGAAGAGTGGCTTGTTGTAAAAGAAGACGGAGATAAAGCCGAGGAACTTTGCGCAAAAATTGAACCACTTTTGAAAGAAATCAAAAGCGAAGAAGATATTGTTGAGGTGCAAAAGTATGCTGAATACTTCCACAAGATTGAGGCGTGGAGCGTTATTGGCGATGGCGCAGCATTTGACATTGGTACTGCTGGGGTTGACCATGTTGCTTCATTGCACGTTGGTTTAAAGACAATTATTAACAACACCCAAGTATTTTCAAACACTGGCGGGCACCACTCAAAGGCAACACCAGAAGGTGCAATTTCCAAATTCGCTTCAAAGGGAACTGATGCTGTTCAAAAAGACTTGGCATCAATTCTGATTAACTACGGCACGTGTTACGTTGCTCAGTGTTGTGTTCAGGCAAACCCCGAGCAAGCAATGAAAGCTTTGATCGAGGCCGAAAGGTTTAACGGACCGGCGTTTGTCATATTTTATTGTGTCTGTGTCGACCACAAATTCGACCTCCATAACGCAATTGAGGAATCGAGACTTCTGGTCCAAAATGGGTACTGGAACTTGTTCAGATACGACCCGTCAAAGAAAGGAGTTGGTGTGAACCCACTCACACTGGACAGCGAGTGTAGGATCGTTGACTTTTCGCCAGTCATCATGAATGAAGACCGATTTTCGTTGCTTAGAAATGATGACGACAAAACAAAGCAACTTGTGAAGGGTATCCAAAACAAAATGCAAGAAAAACTCGACGAGTTGGTGAAACAAACAAAGAACTAATTAAAATCAAATTGTCATTGGTTTAAACAATTCGAATCAACATTTACCAAACACAACCCAACCATCATCCCGCTGTTCTTTGTTCGCAAACAATACAAACGAATTTACTGGACTTGGCACACGAAGTGCTACAAAAATATCGTCTTTCATGTATTGTTCCACATTTTGTAACCCACCAAAAGTGTAGCCCCACTCTTTCGTTACTCCTGGTAATATACCAGATATAACAACACTACTTGGCTCTTCTTTGATAATAGTCACATTACCATTTGACTCTTTCTGGATTATTCCAAAATTAACTTTCCAGTCGTAGTAAAACGGTGCAACACCATCGTTTGACACATTCACGTTGATTTGAATTGAGTCTGTTATATATTCCACTCGACTCGTTTGTAAGAACAAATTGTACCCCATCTTCCTCTCTGCTCTCTTTCTTCTCTTATTAAAGTTCTCATCAGTTTGTTTTTTGCTAAAGTAGTCGGCAGATAACATGAATGATGGGTGAAACAGTTCAACATTTTCTAAGTACTTTTCAAGTTTCGAATCAGTCGAAAACATCTCACTTTGTCCAGCTGGATAGTCCTCTCCTCCGAAACTCTCTGTTTTCCATCTGTCTGTCATGTTATGTGTTATCATCAAAGACATCATATAACTGTCGTCGTCTTGGTTATTAAACATGTCATGATACAGTCCTATCTTTCTTAATTCACTTCTCTCCTCTGCGATTCTAACTTCGCATTTCGTTCTTTTCAAATTGTTCAAATGCATGTCCATGATGCGATCTAATGTGGCAGATGTCGCTTTTTTAGTTGTGTCTTTGATATAATACTCGTGCCACTCGCCCCCTCTTTGTCATCATTCAAATGAATGAAATTGGTATTAAATGTATAAAAACACAACAAACAGTGCCCATATAGCCCTAATTGCCAAAACGCAATTCTCCCGTCCCCATCATAAACCTTTCCAATTTCAGTCATCAAATATGACAATTGCTCGAGGAGATAATTGTCGTTGTAATTGGGACTTTGAGCGGGGTCATATCCGTACGAGTACATCGTTATTTTGTCTTGGATGTATCGGGGGACAAACGACTTTTCGCTTGGAGCGTCCAACACAAGTCGAACGACAGCTTGTGTCTTCGAATTGTTGCACTTGACTAGTATCTGTTCTAAAGCAGACAAATCAACAGTGTTCTCTTTTGTAAGTAATTTGTCGACTTCGATGCGACTATATTGCAGTGAAAATGGTACATTTGGCACATTACTGTTGCCGTACCAATTGCAAAATCCTTTCAACGGATTACCAAGAGGTTCGTCGACTCTTTTGAAGTAATAAGTCCCACTTATACATTCGTGTGGAACTGATGAACTACTTTCATCGCCAACAGAAAGACCAACTGCGAGGCCTATTACCACTGCCGTGAAACTAATAAACACCACAAATGCAATTGTGGTTACAATGAATATCACAACTATTTTCTTCATCACTATGTTGACAAGAATTAGAGTATAAAAAGATCACCATAAATGCCAAAGTAATTATCCATATATAGGAAATATATAGTAAATTATATTAAATAAAATTATAATAAAATTATATTAAAAATTATATTAAAAATTATATTAAAAGTATAATAAAACCATTTTCAGTAGAATTACCATTCATTTGTCTGATATTCGACTCTAAGAATAACACAAACAACAATCAAAACATTCAATTTCATTTTTCATGTAAGAGATAAGGCAAAATTGTTTTCACAAAAGTTTTTCGACGTTCATCTTCGACACTTTTAAATTTCTCGCTTTGAATTTCCTTAGGGTTCAGTTTCCGTTTAAATTGTTGTGAGAAGGATTGATCGAACTCACTGAAATTCACTTCAAACAGGTTTTTGTCTTTGACTTGCAAAGGTTCACGACGGGAGATACAGACAATCAACACGTCATTTTGACTCATCTCCTGGACGGCGTTTTGAATTTTTTTTGTCGCCACCGTTTTCAGATTTGAACTTTTAAAAACGTCGTGGATTTTACAACAAAAGATCAGAGCGTTTGACTCGTGTTTTGAGTAAAAACAAATTCCGCACGTTTGTGGGTTAAATTTTGTCACGAAGTCAGGGACATCCAACGGACTTTTCTCATATGAAATTGACTTCTGTTCTTTTGTTTGAATATTCAAGAATTGTGATATGAAGACGTCAAACAAAATTCCGGTATTAATTGCATCGTTCAAAGCACAATGAAATTTAGGGTTTCGACTATGCCAATCACAACGAGTTCCATACTCAAGTTGTTTAAATATTAAATTGAGACTTTTCCTTGTGAAGTACATTTGGTGCTGCATGACGTCACAAATGACTTCACCAAGACAGAAGTGATTAATGAAAGTGAATTGTGGCATCGTGACCTTCGCCCACTCAAACATCGTCGTGAGACATTGGCAGTCCGAGGAGACTATTTCCTCTTTCGACACAAACACAACATTTGCGTCGACCGCTCCACAATACTTCGTGACACTTGCGAGGAGCTCTTTGATCACTTTGGAGTAGTCTTTCCGTAAGTTCGGAGTACTTTTGGTGATGCCATGAATCAGTTGGTTGTATGTGAAGGTCCACTTTTGAATAGGGGGGTGTAACATACAGTGGTACGTACCTACTAAATCTTCGCCTATCCTTTTAAACACAAACCCCGCTTCAACAGGATACGTCCCGATGTCTTGAAATTGTGTAAATTCAAAATCATAAAACACAAAGACCACACGAGGGTTGTGAAGTAACAAATCCTTGACATATCGTTTCGTCGTTTCTTCTTGTTTTTTGGTCTTTTCTCGTTGAATTTGTTTTTTTTCTCGGTTCATGACGTCTTCTGGTAATTTACTCGACTGTTCTTTGGTTTCGTTTTGGGGAATCCGTTTGCTCAATCGTTTGGTTGGAGCTTGAGCTCTTTTCATATAAGTTTCTTAGTTTTTCAAATACTTTTGTAAATGTAAAGATCTTACTCAAATTTCTATTTTTTCAAAGTCATTGAAAGTTGTTTTCTTTAAGATTGGTATTCTTTCACAAACCCATTTCTTTAATAATTAAATTTTATAATATTTAAACTATAATCATTGGTATTAGAAATATTAACTAGTATTATTAATAAAAAAACAATTTATTAATTTAAATTATATTATTAATATAATTTAATTAAGAAAATTAAAAAATTATATTAATACTAACAAACGTTAAATAAAATAGTACATTGAATTATTCACACTTGTACATAAGAAATTAGTAAAAAAAACTATACTGACTTTGACGTATTACGACAAACTTCAACACTTTGATTGTCATTCACATTTTTTCTCTTTTTGCAAAGACGTTTAAATAGAATATAAAAAGATACCACAAAATAAGACGCTTTTGAATAGAACCCTTACTAGTTTGTTAATTCAACAATAATAAAAAAGATAGAAACATGAATTATTGCC